TTGAGAGCTCCGAAGGGAAAAAAAGGCACAGAGGAAGGGCTGGAAATTCAAAAAAAAAAATTTTGTCTGCAGTACAGGATCTCCCTACGGCCACAGGGAGAGGCAGAACTACAGAGGGCATATGCACTTGTACTGTTTGTGTCTGAGGAGGATCCCTGAAAGCTTGGAAGTAAAAGAAATGTTCCTTTTTAAAGCCCGACCACAAGCTGACTTTGCTTCTCTCACTCTCTCTTTGCAGGTGTTTAGCTGAAAACCGTGGCGATGTCGCCTTTGTCAAGCACACCTCCGTCTTTGAGAACACTGATGGTACGTTGCTGGCTCCCACTGTTTAAGGGCATGGACCTTCCTTCCTTTTCTTAGCCTACTCAGGGTAGCTGTTAGCACCCAATTTTAGGTTTCAGTTGGTTTCAGTTTTCCGGCAGGGAATAACAGATAAAGATAGTGCATCAATCAGACTATATGTGAGTCAGTTGTTATTTTTATTAAACATATAGCTGGACTCCCGTCTTAAAAGGCAGATCGGGTGTGCTCATCATACATTGGTAAAGCATTTTATAAGTTTCTTACAAAGGACAATAAAGCACAGCATTCCCTTATTGGTCTCCTGAACCCTATGTGTGCCTGTTGGGTCATCCTGTTGGCCGTGGTAGATGTGAGAAGAAATACAGTGGTGCCCCGCATAGCGAGGCTAATCCATTCCGTATTAACCATCGCTATGGGGAAACATCGCTATACGGATAGGAAAATGCCATAGGAACGCATTAAACTTAGTTTAATGCGTTCCAATGGCTTCTAAACTCACCGTTAAGCGATGTTTCCTCATAGCGCCGCCATTTTCGCGCCCTCGGTAAGCGAGGGCAGGGCGCGAAAATGGTTGTGGCGGCCATTTTGGGTCGTCCGGCGACCATTTTGGAACCGCCGAACAGCTGATTCTCAACATCGATTACCGATCGTCGCAATGCGATTTTTGGCCATAGAGACCATCGGTATGTAATCGCATTAGCGATCTCAAAAAAGTGATCGCTATGCGAATTCGTCGTTATACGGTGCGCTCGTTAAGTGAGGCACCACTGTATCCAAATTGCATCCCAGGGTTAGTGGCTGCCAAGTTTGTGAATGTGTGAACCATTGTGCAGTTTATCTCTAAATATGTTAATGACGGAGTATGAGCCATCTTGTTACGGTATGTTACAGTAGTTATTCTGAGTTAGTTGGCCAAGTGAGTGAGTTGCCCTTGAATGTGTGATAATGTAGGAATGTTTCTGTGAGTGCCAAGCGGGATGGGTCAGGAGAACCAAGAGAGAAATGAGGGTACAAAATACATTGACTGTAGAGAATACATATAAATACAGATACAAAAATGCACATAGAATATCATTATAGTAAGGAAATAGCAGGAAATCATATTTGCCCCCTATCATATCCACCTGTCCTTTCAGGTAGGAATGAAGAGTCCTGGGCCGCTCAGCTGCAGTCTGCAGATTTCCAGCTCTTGTGTCCAAATGGGGCTCGTGCTGAAGTTGGCCAGTTTGCCCAGTGTCACTGGGGCCAGGTGCCTCCTCGGGCCATTATGGTCCACCCAGACACCAATACGATGGCTGTGCATGGACTTTTGGATAAAGCTCAGGTACCACTGACTTTTCTTAAACTGAAAATGTGGCGGAAAGTGTCCTCGTGATCAGCATCCTTCCCCCTCACTGCCGAGGAGAGTTTTGGGATCTTTGGATGAATATCCCACCACGGGGGCTCCAAAGAACAGCCCTTGGAGAGGTGGCCGGCCGCATTCGCCTTTTTCAACAACAGAAGCAAAACAAAACTCTTGCGGCACCTTAAAGACTAACCAGGTTCTCTCCGTGTCCGCTGTGTGGATTACCGTCCACGTCTTCAGACACAGAAGACCAGGGCGGGGCCACCAGCTGACCCCTTGCCACTAAGGGCAGCTCGACTACTTCGTGTGTAGCTGTGGGGCCTTTCGCAAGAACATGTTTGTTGGGGGGGGGGTTCACAATAGTACTCTGTTCTATTGTTTACAGTGTAGTCTGTTTTATTCTGCTGTTGATTTGTTTGCTCTTAATATTTATAGATTTTTAAGCATTTTAGTTTGCACTGAAGCCAAACTAAAAATGTAAAGCCACAGATGCTTGCATGAAGAGCCGTGTTTTGAGTCAGCACCAAACGGTCTAGTAGGGCACATTCCACAACCCTGTCCCTTCTTTGTTTCCACCTAACATATGGTTCCCATTGGTGGGTCACAGAGGAGGATATAAAGGGACACATCAGGGACCACAAGGCGGTTGGTTGCCTTGAGTGACCCCTCAGTGCTCACGGCCGCCTCAGCCTTTATCTCTGCCCTCAGGAAGTGGACCTTGACGGGCAGTGTGACAAAAGCCTCTGCTTGGATTTCAGGATTATTTTGGTGATGACAGCAACAGTGAATTTAGCATGTTCAATTCCACAAAATACCATGGGAAAGATTTGATCTTCAAAGATGCCACCACTGGCATTGTGGCTGCTGGGGAGAGAAGAACATCGGCCGCCTGGCTGGGGCCAGAGTTCCTGGAGGCGATGGAAGGCTTCAGCTCTGCCCAGTGCTCGGGAACCGGTGAGTGCCTGACCAGCTGCAGAATCCCCCGCCCCTGGCCAACCATCTCCAAAGGGGAGGAAGTGGTTGGCATTTCTATGAAGAACGCCAAGGAAGGAAGGACCGGGTGCTTCTCTTTTCTGCCCCGCCTGAGGTTCCCCTCTCCCTCTCTTCCTCTTTCTCTGAGAAAGAGAGGCAGACTTTCCGTTTCACTGCTGCACTGAGGCATCGGTCCTCTTGCAAGGCTCAGGCCAGCCTGTATGTTCCAGCACAAGGAGAGAGGCAGATTCAGGGATGGGCATCACACTAGTGGGAGCAGGAGAGAGAGCAGCCATCTTCTGTGCTCCTCTCTAGTTAGGATCACAGAATCAAAGAACAATGGACTTGGAAGGGGGACCCCTAAGGCCATCAAACCCAACCCCCTGCTCAAGGCAGGAATCCAAACCAAAGCAGATCGGACGGATGGCGGTCCAATTTTCTCTTGAAGGCCTCCAGCGCTGCAGCACTCACCACCTCCGGAGAGAAAGGGTTGCTTTGTCATACTGCTCTTAATAGTCAGGAATTTTGTCCAGGACTCTTATTCCTGGCCATGGGGCAGCTCTGCCGGTGCTTACACAGAGAAGGTTTTGCCCCCCCCCCCGATGAGCTGTCCATGACATTCACAACTGATCTCCCTAGCTAGCAGTGCATTATTGAAATTCACTGCAGGATAGCAAAGTCTCTCATCAGCTGTTGTGATCACTGATCCAGGAAAATTGTTTTCCTCTTGGCTTAAAAATTTATAAGCCACTTCTTAGCCACACTTACCCAAAGTTGCAAAAACAAAACAAACAACCTAACAAAGTATAAAAATCAAAATGGCTACAACACAATGTTATAGGGAAAAATTGTTTTGCATTTAATTAAATGGTCAAATTCCTGCAGATGATGTATCCCTGTGTGGGTGAAATTGTGTAACTTGACGCAGCTAATTTCTGTTAACCCACAAGGTGCTAATTGTATTACTGGGCACCTACCTGTTGCGCAGTCGGGCACACACATCGCAAAGCAACCAGCATAGTCAATGCCATGTCTTATGCAATTTAATTAAACATCCCTAAACTACCAGAAGTATTCTGGCCATGACAATATAAGTGAGATAATAGAGAAACCATTTCTAGAGTCACAGAAATAAAAACATCTGTAAAAGAGCAGCACCTAAGGCCAGGAAGCTTTTCTGCCTCTGGAAATTTGCACAGTTCCTTTAAAGCAGTTAGGAAGATTTTAAATGCTCATTAAACTGCCTCTCTGCTGGTGCACCATCTTAGCCAAGAAGGGGAAAAAAGGAAAGGAAAACCTGGGCTTCCCCGAAATGTCCAGGTCCAGCGGGTGAGTGGAGTCTCTCTGCAGGGAAGGAAACACCTGTCTGTCCCCCCCCTTCCCTGGTGCCCTTTGTCCTTGGCCCATTCCTACCCATCCTCCTCCTCTGCAGCACAGCAACTGCCTCTCTGCTGGTGCACCATCTTAGCCAAGAAGGGGAAAAAAGGAAAGGAAAACCTGGGCTTCCCCGAAATGTCCAGGTCCAGCGGGTGAGTGGAGTCTCTCTGCAGGGAAGGAAACACCTGTCTGTCCCCCCCCTTCCCTGGTGCCCTTTGTCCTTGGCCCATTCCTACCCATCCTCCTCCTCTGCAGCACAGCGACCAGAGGCAGAAGAGCTGTTTGTCTAGACCCCCCCCGCCCCCCCATCTCTCCTGCCTCCCTCATCCATTGCCAGAGCTTGGTGTGGAAACAAGAGGAAGCTTGGGAGGTGCCTGCTCTCCTCTCGGAAAAAAGGGAAGGCAGGCAGCGTTGGCCCCACATTTTTAAAACAAGCCTTCTTGCCTTCTCTCTCTCCCCCTCCCTCCCTGTTAGTGTTATGGGCTGTCAAATCCCATCCCACTCACAGGGCTCTCAAGGTAAGACAGATATATTAGTTAAGGAGTGATTTTACCAGTTCCACTCTCATCCAAGTGAGTTTCCATGGCTGAGCGGGGATGTGAGCCCAGGCAGGCCTCCCGAGTCCATCACACTATCCACTACCCAACACAGGGTGCCTTCCACTCTTTCTAAACTTCCAATACTTTCTGGTAAAGGGGTGAATCGCTGCCCTTCAGAGGGGAGCACTCAGACATAGTCTTGCTTGCCGCTGTATGCCTGCACTCGGGATAAGAGAACCAGAGTAGTGGCCCTATCTTTAGACAGTAATTTGTAAACCACCCAGAGTGGCCTTGGTAGCCAGATGGGTGGTATAAAAATAAAATTAAATTAAAAAGAGACAGACAGACAGATGAGGAGCCAAGCAGGAGCCTCTCCCAACATCACTTACAGAGATTCCTAATCCATCGCATGGGAGACAGCGAGGAGTCTGTGGCCATTCTCTTTGGACACAGCTCTTCAGAGAAGGTTGCAGACAGACTTTGAGAAGATTTGGAGGGGAAAAAAACAGCTGGGGTTAAAGGACAGTTTGATTGGCAGGACGTTTTCCCTTGGAACAGAGGAGCACCAGGGAGGCGTAAGGGTCAGAGTGTGAAAAGAAGACCAGAGGAAAAGGGAGGCGTAAGGGTCAGAGTGTGAAAAGGAAAAAGGAGGAAAAAGGCAAGCAGGGCTTCCTCGGTCTGCTGGTGCCCACCAATGCTCTTCTTCAGCCTGGCCAACTTCTCCTGGTGGTTGGAAGGCAGAAGAGAGGAACTGCTCTAATCTTTGAAAGGACAGACGGGAAGGCAGTACAGGCATGCATGCTGGGAACAGGGCATGTCCTGCTGCCCCCCATCCCTAGCACCCACTGGTCGCTCGCCCTGGACGGCAAAGGGAAGGGAAGGATTCTTGCTCTCTCTGTGGTGCCCACCAGGGGAGTCTCTGCCAGCTCAAAGGAGGGACTGGCAAAGGCAGCCTTGGGCAGACGCTGCTCCTGAGTTCTTAACAGTGCGTATGTTTACCTTCCAGCCTGCCAGTCAGTGAACATCTTCCTCCTCCTCCTGCTGATGACAAGTCTGGTTTTTGCTCAGTTCTGCTCCTCGTGATTCACAGACCGACATGGCAGCCAGACAAGAGGCGGCAGCGGTGAGGCCTGTTAACCTGGACAGCCGCAAGGAAGCGTCAGCAACCCCACGAGGAAGGCCGAGCCTTTCTTCTTGCCCAGCCCCGGATGGACTGAATGCGGTGCCTTCTGTGGACAAGCCTTGCCACCCAGCCTGCCCCCCCCAGGAGGAGGGATGGCTCTAAATCCCCCCAGTGCCCTCCAAGGTGCCACTGCTTTTTAAAGAACCGGGGATTTCTGGTCCTGCCTCTTACCTGAAGTAGCTCACTGTGAAGTGCAAACCCTTCTGTACCAGACGTAACTTTCTTTGTTCCCTGGCCTGAGCTTCTTTTGTGAATCAAAAAGAGGGTGTCGGTTTATATATAAGGAAAAGCAAGAGATGCTGGACAAGGCCGTGTTCCTGCCATTTTGCTTCGGGCTCTCAATGGGCGTGACAGGCGAGGCACCCATTTCTACAGAATGGCTGGCTGGGGCAACAGCAGCTTCTTTATAAGGAGGTAGGACTGTGAGCCTCTCCAGACTCTTGCCAGTGCTGGTTCCCTGGAAGAAAGAGGTTGCCCTGTTCCACCCGCAGGGAGAAACATTCAGTAGTCATGGTGTGGTTTTAGGTTCTCCCCATGGAAATGTGCTCTGGACAGCCGAGCATTTCAGCTGTGCTGATCCCTTGAGCCTTGAGGCCTCTGCCATTCTGACATGATAGCATCATTTTTAAAATAAAGCCTTTGTTGACATCAGAAACCCATAAAAAGTCCCAGCATGCCTTGGTAGTAAAAACAGGGACACTGATGTAGTGCATTTCAGGACATAAGCAGTGCTGCCACTAAGCAATTTATTTATTCATTTCATTTGTACCCCACCTATCCCACTGGATTTGCTGTTTCCTACAAATCCTCCCAGGTGTAACTTTATTTTTACAAAATGGTGCAACTGCACACCGCGAACTGGTGGGAGTCCTGCAACCCTTAAGCAGGTTTTATCCTACTGCCATATTTTTCTTCCGAGCATCAAAGAGCCTACCTTTGTTCTGGTTTTTTCCCCGCACAAACATACTCGAGCCCTGTTTCTTATGCTGACAGCAGATGGCACAAATACCAACGCTGCACAGCTTTGGCCCTTCTGTTTCCTGGGTCTACTGTACATCCATAGCTATTACTGCCTGGGGTAACCATGTTGCAGCTTGTTGCAACCGGCTATCCTCTCTGGTGCCCAGGCATGCCCTCATTGTACTAGCCCCTGGGGGCAGAGCTACCATGTTTGGGAAACACTGGCTAGGCTCCAATGGCCCACTCTTGCTTCTTCACAAAGAAGGGATCTGATGGATCTGTAAAGAAGATGCTCTACCAAATCTAGTGTGGCTTGAATCTTTCAAGAGGATCATGAACAAATAACCACATCTGCTTCTCTGCTTGTTGATTGTATTACATGGAATAATTTATTTAATACATTTTATACCACCCCATTTAGTGAAAATCCACTAATCTGGGTGGTCATATACACATCCATAAACAATCAGCAAAGAAAACCAAAAAGCACCCCCCACACACAGACAAGCCACCCCCTCCCAAATAAGACAACAACATATAACAAACTTAGAACAATAACCCATATAACTGAATAAATGTAAGTACAGTAGTGGTGAAATCCCTCTGTCATAGAGCTGAAACCGAGGGCCAGGCTGCCACCTGAGAGGGAGAATATCCTGGAAGGCCTCTTCAAACAGATGTTTTCATTAATTTCTTAAAGTCTGGAGGAAGGGGAACTGACGTATCTCTGATGGGAGGCCATCCCAAAGTGAAGGGGCCACCACCAAGCAGGCCTGATTCGTGGTCCCAGCCTTGCTTGATTCTCTTTCTCTGTGGCCGGCAGCCACAGGATCACTGGGAGGATCAAGTGGAACGAGCAGTTGGCCTTCAGGAGAAACACTCCGACAGACACCAAGGTCCCAAACCCTACAGGGTTTTATATGTTGAGAGTACAAAACCTTGAGCTTGGCACAGAAAAGAACAGCTGAGCCAGGTATGCAAGATCTTTGCCAGGTTCCTAGAAAACTTTGTGCCTAAAGTAGTGACTGTTGTGGCCATTTTAAAATGGGAAAGTGGTCATAACCCCGCCTGCCTCGCTTGATAAATGGTTATGATCCCTGCAACTCAGATGTTTATCGAGTACAGAAAACAGGAAGATGCTGATTCAGAGAAAAGAGCTCTGCATTACAGAACACAGAAGCGCTCCCCATCACAGCCATTCCCTGCAGGCTGTGGCAAGCCTTAGTCCAGCTCTTCCAACGCCAGGCGTCTGGCCTGCCTCCCTTCAAAGCAGAGAAAAAGCAAACATGTATCCAAGATTTGAGAGCTGGCCATGCAAATCTCTTTCTAGTGGAATATGTCTTGCAAAGCTTCTGCATGGTTTTTTTAATGCATCCTCCTCCAGGTGCAGACAATAGGTTCGCCCTCATTTCTCTTCTCAACTGTACACTTAACAGTTAAAAGCAGAGAGAAGAATCCTGAGAAACTCTTCAAAAACAAGACACAAGGATACAGGTGTAGGCAAACTCTTTGCTGAAGGAGGAAGTTTTTCCCCTCCATGTAAAAAAAAAAATCTGACCCTGTTGGCAACAGATGATCTTAACAATAACTTCTGTCCAATTGCCAACATGCCTTTTGAGGCCACAGTGATCCAGCGGGTGGTGGCTAATCACCTTCAGACCTTCCTGGAGAAATAGGACTGCCCTGATCCATGCCAGTCCGGATTCAGGCCGCAATAGGGGTACTGCAAAGGGCTCCCAAACTGTGCGCTACGGCTCTGTGGGGCAGCCAGGATCCGAGCCAGAGGCACCATGGGAAAAGGGGCAGAACATACTGTGTTTCCCCGAAAATAAGACAGGGTCTTATATTTTTGCTCCAGAAAACAAATTAGGGCTTATTTTCAGGGGATGTTTTATTTTAGTCATGTCATCTTCTGGTTGCTGTAACAAGGGTGGAGGGCAGGGTTTCACTTAACTAAGGCTTATTTTCGGGGAAACAGGGTAGCACTATGAAGGCTGTAGAGGAGCTGTTCATAGCTTTATGTCAAATAGGAACCAGAAGTGAAGACCATGTGCTTGTCTGTCCTTTTCCCAATCTCTATGGTCCCCAGTGGAGGCACCTGCTTGGTGGCCTTGGGAGTCTCCTGCATCAGGACCGGGAAGGAGGCAGGGATTTTCAGTGGAGGAGGAGATGGGATGGCTGGGAGGGGGTCAAGGTCCTTCCTGCTGGTGTTGGCAGAGAGACCCCCTAATGGCCCCACTGAGCAAAGGGAGCCACAGCCAGTGGTCAGAAAATCAAGGGAGCCACAACCCCAAAATGCTTGGGAATCACTGGAGTACTAAGACGACCCTGGTCGCCCTGTGTGGTGACCTTTTAAGGGAGACTGAGGGGGCTCGTTGTACCCTGCTCGTTCTCCTTGATCTGTAGATGCTTTTCATACTGTCGACAAAGGTATCCTCTTGGGCAGGCTCTCAGAAACTGGAATCAAGGGCCTAGCATTAGGCTGGCTCTGATACTTTCTCGAGGATCCTGCCCAGTGTGTTCAGTTCAGCCTGCGGAGGAGTTATTGGTCCCGTGGACCCTCAATTGTGGGGCACCCCAGGGCTCATCAATATCCCTAATGCTATTCTACATCGATGTGAAGCCACTGCGGGAGGTCCTCAGGAGATCTGGAGCAAGTTCTGGCCAGTCTCCACTGGTGACCTGTTGTGTCCTGGATCAGGTTCAAGATCTTCACGCTTGCGTACAAACCTCTTCACAGTTTGGGACCATGTCACCCATCAGAACGTTTTCCCCAATGTTATCTGCCTGACCCACCGGATCTTCACCGGCCAGGCTCCTCCTCCTTGTGGCCACCTCGAGAGAGGCCCAAAGGTCATCTGCTAGAGGCATGGCCTTCTTCTTCACAGTGGCAGCAAGATTACAGAATCAGCTCCCAGGGGAGTTACGCCTACCCCCCCTTCCCTGTACTCATTTTGGTGGCAGTTCAAAACATTACTTTTCAGGGAGACCTCTCATGTCAACTCTGGCCACATGCCCCACCTCCTGTCCCACTTTATTGTGAAATATATATATATATATTTTGCTGACACTGGTTTTTATGTCTTTAGGCTATACCATTGTTGGGGAGTTTGGTTTTAACCACTTGTAACCAGAGACCAGTACTAAAAAGCACTAGCAGAATAGTGTTTCAGCACCAATGATGCAGTAGATAAATTCAAGTAACAAATAATAAATAATTTCCCCCACCCCCATCCCAACTTTCAGGCTCCATTTTGGCATCACTGGTCCCTAGCGCTGCATGTTGTGTATGAACCACAGGAAGGTTAAGACAGGACAGTGATCATGCCCCATATCTCCCACCTGGTCTGGACATCAACCCCTGGAGCCACAAGACGGCATGGGCAGCTTCTCCTAGCTTGTGTGCTGGGTGCTACTGTCCAAGTATTGAGTCTCTATCCCTTCCAGGAAATGCATGAGAAAAAGGACCTTGCACCATTAATATTCTCTGTCTCCCTCCCCCACCCCACTGCTCTCTTGCTCTTTCCTTAGTTACCTGCTGGCCTCATTGCTGCTGTTCCTGCTTGCCATGATGGTTTCTCACGTGCATCCTTCTTTCCCCCCCTTTCTCTCCTCAGCCCTCCTCATTGCTCCCTAGAATGCTTTTCTTCTGCATTTTTGTTTGTGTTGTCTTACTTTCTCAGTTATCCTTCAGATGGTTCCTCTCCTCCTTTGCACCCCACAAATCTTATTCTTGCACTCCCATGGCATTTCTTTTCTCATCAGTCCCTGTCCCCACTCTCAGCAATAGGTCAGCCATTAACGAATGCCTTTTGGGTTTCACCCTCTTTAAAAAATACTTCCTCATTCAAGATTGACATGAAACAGCACCACTCTTTTCCAGTGGAAGTGCTCTTCCTCTTCCTTTCTTTGCCTCTCCCCTGAAAATACACATACACATGTCTGACTGACTGCCATCAACTGTAAAAGCACAGAGGATCTGGCTTATTTTTTTTAAAACCCAACTTCCTTTTGACATAAGAACACATTTAGAACATTTGTTAATTGTGGATCTCAGCAGTGACAAACCTAGGCAGCATCGCAAAAAGCAAAGACATCACCTTGCTGACAAAGGTCCGCATAGTCAAAGCTTATGGTTTTTCCAGTAGCGATTTATGGAAGTGAGAGCTGGACCACAAAGAAGGCTGACCGCCGAAGAATGGATGCTTTTGAATTAATTATTTTTTTAAAAGTTCATTCTTCCCGAAATTAAATGTACTTGATGATCCGTGTCATTCTTCTTTTGTTGCAAAGACGATAAAGCTGTATGAAGTTCTGGATTATTCATCTGTCCTTTTATAACCCTGACTGTTGTTAGGCATCCTTCGGTCTCGAAGGACCTGATTTTTCAGAGAATAGCACTTTTCAGACCTTTCCCCAGTCCTTCCACCAGGGGGCGCCGCTCACCACCCACGCCGCCCCTCTTTCCGAGGCCGCTGATTGGACCAGCCGCGGCTCTTGGCCCGCTCCGCCTCTTCCTTCAGTTCGCGCAGAAAGGTTTCGCGCAGGCGCAGTCCGCGCGTCAAGACCGAAGCCGTTAGCCGCGCCGCCGCCCGGATGGGCCTCGCTTCCGCCAGGCGGTCCACCACTCGGTGGTCGTTGAGCATGGCGAAGAGCAGCCGCCGGAGGACCATCCTTCCCCTGAAGCGCTTCTGGCCGGGAGGGCCGCCGCTCCTGGAAGATCGCCGGGCTCGAGGAGGAGGCGGTGGCGACGTGCGGCAGACGGGTTACGTCGATCACGTGCCGGTCGTGCTTCACGATGATTGGCGGGGAGAGTGCGCATGCTCAGACAGCGCCCTGAGGGGCTCTCCAATAGGAAGGCTCGTCTGATGCCTAGGCGAGAGGCGTCGAGTATTTCCGGGCCCTTCCGCCCGCCCGACTTCCGGCAGCAGGACGGCCAATTGGAGCGCCAGAGGGGGCCTTCGGTCCGTCGGGATTGGCGCTCGTGGTCCCTCGGGCCCGCCCCGGAAGAGGCTTCCCCGTGCTGGCGAGGGAGAGCCGTGGGAGGGACGCGGAGCTGAGGATCACATATTTACATTAAAAAAAAAAAACAATAGAAAATGAAGCTTTTTGACACATCTGCCCTCTTCCGCACTGCAATAATATGAATGTGTTTTTTATTTGGTGGTGGCGAGATTTGTCGGGCCTTTTCTTGCCGCGAGGGCAGATACTACAGGCAAGCTGCCAGCTTCACAATTAGATGGTGATAAAAAGTTGCCGCTCCCAGAACACATTGCTCCAAGGCTTTCGTGACTGTGCAGTCCGCTTGCAAACAAATCAAACCTGTGCAGCTTCAGGAACATTTAAGGACTACAGAAGGGGGCTCCCTAGTCATGGAGGGACACGAAGCCTGGCCTGCCGGTGCAGGCGGCTGGCTGCCCAAGTGAACCCCCACCCCCAGAATCCACCAGGCCCCCTTCCCGGGTGCAGTGCGTGGCGGGCATCCTCTTCAGAGCCTCAACTGCAGCGGTAGCAGCCCAGCGGCTGCGCCCCTGCCTCCCTCCCTCCTCGCCCGGCCACTCCTGCAGCAAGGGGCGGGAGGGCCAGCCTTCCTCTTCTCTTTCATGGGGCTTGTTCTGCAGAACGAAACGAAGGGCGGTGCCTCTCCTCACTTGGGATGTGCTGAGCCTCATAAGGGCCTTCTGCTGGCTGCCCTGTCCAAGCCTCCGTACATCCGGCAGAAGCAGAAGGCTTGTGCAGTGGCAGCTGTGAGGAGGACTGGGCCTTCTGTCCAGTGTGGGAGGACTGGGTGGACAGGTTGGCAGGGGGACCGCAAGTTGTCTGGAGGCAAGTTGTCTCCTCAGGCAACTCCTGGGACTGACTTCCTCTTGTGTGTTTGTGGGAAATAAAAAGGATGAAAGAAGTGGTGAGAAAACAGGGTTGCCGAGCTGGGAGAAGTTACCTGTGTGCACGTGCACTAAAACTTACATGTTTTTTCTTCTGTCATGGCCAATGACTGTATCAGCTGGGTCACTCTGGAAGATGCAGTCTAGAAAGTAACTTTTCCAAACTTTGAGACTTCCAATCCGAAAGGAGCCACCTTGAACAGGGACAAGAAATATATTTGTTTTCTGGGCTTCAGCCTCCCCCAAACCTTGTCAATCTGGCCACAGGAGTCTGGGAGCTGCGTGCCAGAGAAAAGCCATGGTACAAACCCTGGGAATAGTCACCGAACTGGACAGGCAAGGTGACTCCCTAGCTTTCCAAAATGGAAGCTGCTGTGTTTACTTCTTCATCCTTTCTTGCTGTTAGATGACCAAATCAAAGCCCCAGTGGGATGCTGCTCTTTCAAGTAGCAGTAAAACTCTGCCCTTGTGTCTTTGTTGGTTTGTCCTCCTATGCCCAGACTGAGGTAACCAGGCAAAGGCTGCTTGCCAGATGTGTGAGGTGCTTCATAGCATGAACCTTACATATTTCTTCACACACACCCCCAGCGAGCTGGGTACTCAATGTATGGAAGAATGGAAGGCTGAGCAAGCTTGGGGTGGCTACTTGGAGGGAACCTGGATCATGAGCAGTGCCTTGGCTGCAGTCCTGCAGTTTAACTACTCGTGCCACGAGCCACCCCCATTTTTCTCCTTCACACTTACCATGTTTCCCCAAAAATAAAACAGGGTCTTACATTACTTTTTGCTCCAAAAATGCATTAGAGCTTATTTTCAGGCAATATTCTATTTTTTTTCCATGTACAACTATCTACATTTATTCAAGTACAGTCATGTCATCTTCTGGTTGCTGCACAATGGTGGAGAGCGGGGTTTCACTTAATTGGGACTTATTTTGGGGGTAGGGCTTAATATTACGAGCATCCTGAAAAATCCTGCTAGGGCTTATTTTCAGGTTAGGTCTTATTCTCGGGGAAACGGGGTATAAGTTCACATGCCTCTGTCCCACCAGTCAGACTCATCCATCCATCATGCAAAAGACAAACACTCAGTAATCCTGGGGAAGAATGCAAATCGTGCACGTGTCCAGTTGACTGGCCAGCCCTGTCTTGCAGGTATTTGTGAAGTGCGAGGCAGTTTGACGCCTCAGGCTTCAGCATCGAAAAACCTGCAAGCATGTACTGTAGTTGATAAAAAGTGTGGATTTTCTTTGACTGCTTGCTAAAGAAAACATTTTTGACTCACAAGAACTGCTTTTGTGACAAAATTATGGGCTGCAAGCTACCTCTGGTTGTGGAGCTGGAACTGTGAGCTGGTTTAACCTGCTAGAGTAGGGGAAGGAGCGTCCCGCAATGAAAGAGGAAGGGATGCCAGCCAGTAACGGCGCACCCATCCACCCTGTCTATTCCTCACTGAATGGGGGCAGGGGGGGAGAGCTTTTACTGTCTTGTGCTAGCAGTGGTCTGCAGTTATGGCTAGAAAAGAGCAACGCATGAAGCACAAGAACTAACTCTAAGGGGCTCAAGAACGGCTTTTGCTCTCTGTGTAAGAGTTGCTTTTTAGTCACCTCTTCCTGCCATTTGTTGAAAGGACTGCAGGGTTCTGAAGCAATGCAAATGGTTCCTGTGTGGTTTAAGCAAGAGAAAAATGGGCTGCGCCCCGCCCTGTGAGCAGTAGTTCTGCTTCTGAGCTGCCTGCAGCCCATCTGAAAAACCAGTTGCCTCTCCCCTGTGCTAAGAAAACATGACCACTCTGCTTTGTCCCCATTGCCGAGCAGCCTCCTCACCCTGTAGCTTGTGGGACAAAGAGCGGGCAAAGCAGCTTTTGGCAGCAGCGATACAAGGGTTTTGTGCCTCACTTGAGGGCTCCTCCTCAAGTTACTGTTGGGAAACATGCTAAACAGAGGAGGAGATAAGCAGGGAGGATCCAACTTCATCAGGGGCGACCTTATAGTCGTGGGAGCTGTGATCATTTAAGCCCCTAATTGGGGATGTGAGTAGGGGGGAAGCAAGCTTGGAGAGCCAGCTGGGAAGATTTAGGGGTGCTTAGATTGCCCCTCTTGGGGTGCAGAGTCAGCTCCAGGCTCCAGCTCTGCCCACCCAGGCTAGCAAGCACTTAAGTAGCTGCTCCCCCTGCCGTGTCCTGGAATGGAAGCGCTGGGGAAGCCCAGAGGGACCCCCGAGGGATACTGGGGTGAAAAGCCCCACTGGAGGCCCTGGAACACTTTCCCTCAAGGGGCATGCAAACGGCTGGCAGCCAGCCGAGGGATGGGGTGATGCCACACAAACATACCCATCACTTTTCAGCCCTATCGTTTTTCTCCCACACAGTCCAGGGCACCTTGGTGAATATCATCTGGGAGAAGCAGACCAGCTCCACGAACTACAAGACAGGCTCCTGGACGTACTTGGAGGTGCACTTGTTGCCATCCCTTCCGTTAAAAATTTAATTTTCAGAAAGGTAGGAGTCCCACGGATCACATCTTGGACTGTGTTAAAGTTATTTAAAATAATTCTAACCCACCTTTTTCATTAAAATAGGACCCAAGGTGTTAAAAGGCAATATTTAAAGCAAAAAAAAAGTAGGTATACAAATACTAAAAAAATCTCAAACAAACATCACACTAAAAAGACAGCAAACCAAAACCAACACCAAAAGCACATTCAACGCAGTATGACCTCGCCATCCCTTTAAAACTTCCACTGTCATGAAGGGAGAGCTTGCCTGAAGACAGAGGTCTTTGTTAGTCTGCAGAAGGACAGCAAAGATGGGGGCCAGCCTGGAAGGCCTGTGGGAGGGAGTTCCAAAATCTGGGAGCAGCAACATAGTGGCCTTTGTCCCTCTTTTTCCAAATCAGATAGTAAGAAAGCAAAGTACTTTGTAGAGCAAGTTCCCAGTTACCTTTACCCTTTGGTCTAGTTGTACTGTTTTATGTAACCAAGAATGTAGGTGTCTGCTTGCAACAGCAAAGAGAAAAATGGTATCCCAGGTCTTTGCCAGATGTCCGGTCACTTCTGCACCTCTTTTGGGAGATCAGCAGCGCTTGGAGCCTAGGTGCTGATGGGGTGGGGGGGATAACAGAATAATGAAGTGGGAAGAGGCCCATAAGGCCATCCAGTCCAACCCCATGCTCGAGGCAGGAATACAAATCAAAGGATATCTGTCAGATGGTGATCTAAATTTCCCACCAAAAGACGAAGTGATTATCAAAAAAATATTAGAGTGCGCTGAAATGGATAGACTTACAAAGAGACTAAAAGGGCAAGAAAAGTCAACTTACTATGAAAGCTGGAACATGTTCTACGAATGGTGGAAAGCAAAAACTTTGTAATAAATAGAAAATGACCAAAAGGAATAATGAGGAGAAGACACTGCTGAAAGAAATGTGTTATTATACAAAAGGCTTGTAGGCTAAGCTCTACAGTATGTATCGTTTGTAGATAGAGATTTAGGCATATGTGTGTATATGTATGTCTATGTACGGATATGTGTATATAAAGTAAAAAATAAAAAAATGGGGGGAAAAAGATGGTGATCTAAATTTCTGTTGAATGCCTCCACTGATGGAGCACTCATGACATCTTGAGGTACAGTGGTGCCTCACAAGACGAGCGCTCCGTTTAACGACGAAACCGCTTGACGTCAACATTTTTGCAATCACAAAAGTGATCGCAAAACGATGTTTCCTATGGGGGAATTTCGCTTTGCGATGATCGATTCCCTGCTTCAGGAACTGATTCTCGCAAAATGACGATTTTCGGACAGCTGATTGGTGGTTTCAAAATGGCCACCGGGTAAACAAAATGGCTCCCCGCTCTTTTCTGGGACGGATTCCTCGCTCTACAGCCACCGAAAATGGCCGCGCTATGGAGGATCTTCGCTGGACTGTGAGTTTCCAGCCCATCGGAATGCATTAACCGGGTTTTAATGCGTTTCTATGGGCTTTTTAATATCGCTTTATGACGTTTTCGTTCTACAGCGATTTCGCTGGAACGAATTAATGTCGTAATGCGAGGCACCACTGTAATTGGTTCCATTGCCGCACTGCTCCTAACAGTTTGATATTCAACCAAAATTTGGTTACCTGTCACGTGAGCCCATTCTGCCGCGTCCTGCAGAACAGATCCTTCGCTTTCTCCGTAGGTCTATCCCCCCAGCCTTCTTTTCTCAAGGCGAAACATGGCCAGTTCTTTCAGTCTCTCATCACAGGGCTTGTTTAATCATCCTTGCTGCCCTCCTCTGAACTTGTTCCAATTTGTCATCATCCTTCTTGAAGAGCGGTAACCCCGATGAGGCCTAAGCAGTGCAGAACAGGAGGGAAGGCATGATGCCTCATGGGGAGGAAGAGGGCCTTCACTTGCCCTCTTTCCTTTTAAAATCACTTCCATAGCCCCTGAGGCTTGCTGAGATTATCCACTGAGGGGGCCCTTCTTTTTGTGCGCTTCAGCAGATTCCAAGGGGCCGATTGAGGGCATGAATTGGGGGGATGACCTGCCTCAGGCTCGCCCAAGATATCGGTGGTCTCCCGGAAGGGCTTGAGCACCTCCAACAACCGAGAAAGGGCCAGCCAATCCCTGCAACTGATGCCCGCCTCTCTTCCTCTGGGCAGAATGAGCATGGAGGATGTCATTTCTTTGTTTTGTCCACAAAGAAAGAATTTGCTTTAAAGAATTTAGTTGCCATGAGATTTGCACCAGCTGACTTCTTCAGATCCCACCTTCTGATTGTGTGCATGGATATGCATCTTTCTGAAGTAGAGTATACTGTAGTGCAAAAACAACACATCTTGCCGAGTGGTTGAATGCTGAATAGGATTTCCCACCAGGACAAGACACAATAGTTGACCATCTGGAGGTCATGTCATCGAATTCAAAGTGAAGTAGTAAGATCAAGGAATAATCAAGTAAAATGGGGCTACTTGGATACAGGACAATTTTCTGTGACTGCATAGAAATTCAATCAGTGCAGCATTTATGTGCATGTAATTTATGTCCCACTGTGTGTACAAAATAAAATCTAGCAAATGCCCAAGATAACAGTATTTGCATCAAAAATAGTCTAATTATCGTAACATTTTTGTTTTTGTCGTTTAGTCGTGTCCGACTCTTCGTGACCCCATGGACCAGAGCACGCCAGGCCCTCCTGTCTTCCACGGCCTCCCGGAGTTGGGTCAAATTCATGCTGGTTGCTTCGATGACCCTGTCCAGCCATCTCGTCCTCTGTCGTCCCCTTCTCCTCTTGCCGTCACACTTCCCCCAACATCAGGGTCTTTTCCAGGGAATCTTCTCTTCTCATGAGATGGCCAAAGGACTGGAGCCTCAGCTTCAGGATCTGTCCTTCCAGTGAGCACTCAGGGTTGATTTCCTTTAGAATTGAATCTTAACATTTAAATTTTTTTCTAATTATGCCTGTTTTTCATAGATGTCTCCAATTTTAAATTGTGCAGTGCTGTAATGTGAAGAAAGAAGACCATGGTTTGTGTAACAGCTCACCCACACAAACACCCCCCAAAATAAAAACTTCCATCAAAAAGCGACAACTAGAGGAGGGGTGTCCTTCCCTCCTCCTTTCCTTGAAAGAGGATACAAGAGCCTGAACCTCATCACGGGACAACAGGAATCAGAGAAAGTTAAGCAGGTCGTTGGAAATAAAAATATTTAGTTTGAGCTCCTTACAGGCCATCATAACTTGGCGGAAAATACGGCTGGCTGG